TGATTAAATACGTACTTTAAATAGTTTAAATTTTTAACTTTAACCGTTAATATCACGAAAAGTAAAAGCTTTCCGCGGCTATATCTGTATATATTCTGGATCTGGAGGACCTCCTCTATCCGCCCATTCCCATTTTATCCCAGAAATCCAGGATCGGTATTCTAAAGCCGACGCTCAATATTAATTCCAAAAGATCTTACCATGGCTCTGATATGTAGCTTGTATGGCTATTTAAATTGTCGTATTTTTGTAGTAATGCCTGCAACTCGACTCCGTCACCAATTAGAAAATCTGATAAAATTCGAACGGTTCGATCATATTCTTTCTGATCCAAAATAGGCTGCACAGCAGCAAGAAAACGAGAAGTTGTTAACTTTAATTTTGGAATTGGTAAACGAGGTAATGATTTTTGGAAATAATAAGTAGGTAAATTCGAATGTTGTAGAAACTGATAGTCACTTTGACCAGACAAATTCCTTTTACACAAAATTAAATTACTGATCAAGGGATTATGCCGACGTAAATTTATTGCCATCATAATTGAATACATTGCGTCAACCTTGTTATCCAAACCTATCCATCAAAATATGTACACGAAACTGAAAATAAATAATGATAGAGACACCAACTATCGAGACAAAATCGATTTATGTCTGAATATCAGGCGACCACACCATCTATAACGGCCTCTACATGGTCATTTTTGTATGCAAACATGGTATAATGCAAAAAAAACTGGTTTTCGTTTAAACGGTCGAACATGCAATCATACCTTATTTCTCTGTATTTGTGAACGAAGCAACATCAAGGATGAAATGAGAAGGATGACATGAAGCGAGACTCTCTCATTTTCGCTGATTTTTCTGTTTTTTTTTTCTGATTATTAAAATCAGGGAAATTCGAACAGCTGATGTCAAAAAAGGCGGGATGCCAGAAATAAACCCGCTAAAAATAGCTAACATAAGCAGTGCGAAACGAAATTTCAGGGAACGACACAAATATTTTTGAACAACGTGCAACTAAATTTTATTTGCAAATTTATTTTAAACGTTCATCATAAAACCATGATATTTTATTATGACTTGTATTTTTTCTTTGTTATAATTTTTTTTTTATTTATATGTTTATTTTTATATTATATAATTTTTTAAAAATTTATAATCCAGCCATCCAGAACGCTTAGATAAATTTTAAAGAAGTCCTTCTACAGTTCTTCGTTTATCCGTGACGTCGTTACGCTTCAATGCTCGCTTACGACTGAAAAAATATACTGCGTGCATGATGCAAGCGTTTACACCATAAAACATGTTCATAACAACATCATGTTTTTAAAAATTTTTAAAAACCATCGCACATGTATGACAAACACGAATTTATTTTGTTTACACGCTCATTCTTCTCATCACGCCGCACATGCTTGCAAACAAGAATGACCGTGTAAAGGTCGCTATTGATATCAAGACGGCTTTCAAGTTCGAAAAGTGAGAAAGCGCTAGTAAAAAAGTGTGAGTGTATGCAACGTAAAATAAATTCTTGATCGTGTAACGTACGGCTAAAGCTTTTAAGTTGACAGTTGGTTGGCAATAGCTTTGCGAGTGGAAATGCAGTGTAATCAATTTTCCATATCTCCGTTATTCTAAAAGTCGGTTTCCTGAAGTATTTTCAATGATATATGTGGAAGAAAAAAAGTTGAGAGTAATATTTTTGTATAGTATAAATTATTTATGTGATACATGGTGAAAAGGTTAATAATATAAATGCAATAATATTGCTCGCATATGTAAAGATATAATATGCCAAATATGATGACAAATGTTAGTGTATAATGGACTAGTTGGGTTCAATGTGTGCTCTGGTCTAAGAGAGTAGGTCATGTGGAGAATAATTGTTCTTACCATATATCAATCAAAGCAGCAATCGCATATATGGTTAATGAATACATCGGATATATTACGAGTATTATATGTAAATCTTAGGTACAATAAGTTTTTGATTTCACGAAGAAGAAAGTCAGAATGACTACGACGATAAGGTCTACAAAGCTATTTTGCGAATGTTTTAGGATTCTATACTACACAGAATTTTGGTATGAGGTGACGACCATTTTTCATCTAGTGTTATGAATAAATCACAATTGGACTTAAATAAGAATTTTTTATACTAGTGATATACTATTCTTTAAATACATTATAACTAATAAAATTATTTGAAGCCCATAGTTAAAAACATGGGAAGATAATTAGTCACAGTTGTCGAGTGTGCGCTGTATGGGCTTGCTACAATAAATTTAAAGAGTAAATCATGCAAACAGTTTTTGTCTATATAAAACATTGGATTTAAAGTTCAAAATTTCGACAATTTAAAGTACACATTGATAAAATGGGTATGGGCGGATAGAGGAGATCCTCCAGATCAAGAATATATATAGATATATATATATAGCCGCGGGAAACTTATAGTTTTCGAGATATTTGGGTTTAAAGTTCAAAATTTCGACTATTTAAGGTACGCATTTTTCCCATTTCGAATGAGTTTTACACTTATATTTTCCACTTTTATATCCACTAACACTTCACTAATTCGTTTGTACACATTTATTTTACATTATATAGTGCAAAAATAGTTTAATTCAATAATTTAATTATTGTTAAATTCTATTAATTCTGACAATAACAAAAGGGTTGCCAAATTTCAAATAACCAGTGTTACCTTATCGACATCTTTTGTAATTGAACTGAAAGAAATTAAAACAGACAATACCCCAAATACAGGAATCCAAAACCTAGAGAAATAAACTATTACAAAGCATTGATGTTAAGTATTATGTTATACCCTCTATGACAATATTACTTTTTTCTTGTAGAATTTCTTTTTGCGTTGGCGGCCTTCGGCCGCGCTTCAAAAAAAAAATAACCCTGGCCGGTCCAACACCGGGGTGTATCAAAATATTTTTCGTGCAGAACTCCTTTTTGCGTTGGCGGCCTTCGGCCGCCAGTGCGGAAAGAAGTTTGACGCGATTGAATTATGAACACCCCGGTGTTGGACCGACCAGGGTTATTTTTTTGAAGCGCGGCCGAAGGCCGGCAGTGCAGAAAGGAGTTTGACGCGATTGAATTATGAACACCCCGGTGTTGGACCGACCAGGGTTATTTTTTTTAAGCGCGGCCGAAGGCCGCCAATGCAGAAAGGAGTTTAAGGCGATTGAATTATGAACACCCCGGTGTTGGACCGACCGGGGTTATATTTTTGAAGCGCGGCCGAAGGCCGCCAGTGCGAAAAGAAGTTTGACGCGATTAAATTATGAACACCCTGGTGTTGGACCGACCGGGGTTTTTTATTTGAAGCGCGGACAAAGGCCGCCATTGCAAATAAGAAATCTTAACAACAAAAAAAAATGAATGTTAAAAAGAATATTACACTCTCTATAAACTTCAATTTTTATTTAGGATAATTATAATAACAGTGAAGATTTTGAAATTTGATATATGAATACATATGGCGTAAAAATATAGTAAATCAGCATCATGATCCATTTGTGAAATTATCAGATGCAATAAAACATACGTTTAAGCCATAAAACCTTTTTCTTTTATTAAAAGGGAAAATTAAGTTCATAAATTGAGAAATTGTAAAATCAAATTTGTGAAATTTTCAATTTAAAATGCAAATATCTCGAAAACTATAAGTTTCCGGCGGCAATATCTCTCTATCCAACCAAACCCCTCTTAACCCTGAAATCATGGGATGCTAAACTAAAGTTTTCCTAAGAGGGGTATGGATAGAGGAAATTCTCCAGATAAAGAAAATATATAATTATAGCCGTAATTTTATCTTAAAATTTCTCAATTTATAATTAATTTTTGTTTTATATTATACACTTACACTTCACTACAATGTTTCTACACATTTATTTTATATTAATTATTTTATTATTTGGTTTAAATGAGCATTTTATTTTTACACAATTCTTGTTATATGCACAATAGAAAATGGGTTCCATATTGACAGATAATTAGTGTTGCCATATCCAAACAAATGAAAGCAATCAAAATAATTAAAATACCCAATTACCCTCTACAAAAGTAACTTATATGCACAATATTTACCAATTCAATGACAAAACGGACAAAAAAAGAAACGGCATCTTGTTTAGTTGTAACAATATCCGATATAATCCGTTATAGAAAATGAAGTTTGAAGATAGTGATATACCCTCTTTAACATAACTTTTTTTTTGGTTAGATTTCCTAATTGCATCCCATGTTGTTGTTGTTATAACGATTATCTAATCCCCGTTTGGGTGATAAATTCTAGATTCGTTGTCGTCGAGGTCATCTAACGGAAGGCCCAGGAAACGAGCTGTTTCGACGGGGTCGGACCATAGGGAAAGGGGTGTTAGATGAGTGGGGTTTGTAGGGCATGCAAAGAGGTGGTTAGTGTCATGCGGAGACTCATTGCATGCAGGACATGTGTTTAGTATGTCAGGGTCTATTCTGGATAGGTAGGAGTTTAACCTGCTACAGTATCCAGAACGAAGTTGCGCGAGGGTCACTCTAGATTCGCGAGGCAACTCGAGCTCTGTGTCTGCAATGGGTGGTGGTTTGACTCGTATTACGCCATTCACTGAAAGGGAGTCGGTGAAGGTGTTAATGGCTCCACTGTGAATGGCGGTCAGTGCTTGTCTGAAGTTAGTTGCGTCAGAAGTCTGGTCGACGTGCTGTCTGATGTCGTCGACGTAGTCAAGGAAGGACCTCTTGATGTTCCTAGGAGGCTGCTCCGCTGCAAGCAGGCGTCTGCAGGGGTGGTTTCTGCGAAAACATCCCAGCAGAAACTGCTTGGAGAGGAGCTCATTATGTTCCTTAACCGGAAGCATACGGGCCTCGCTATGTAGGTGTTCGATTGGGGACATCAAGAGGCACCCCGTGATAGTCCGGAGTGCAGTGTTCTGACAAGTCTGAAGCTTCTTATTCTGCGTGTCACTACATCCAGGCGACCATATTGCGGCTGCATAATTGAGGACCGGCCGGCCGATTGCCTTGTATGTTGCCAACAACGTTTCTTTGTCCTTTCCCCATGAGCTGCCGGCAAGCGACTTGAGGATTTTGTTGCGGCTCTGTACTTTGGCAGTTATCGCGGTCGTGTGAGGAGTGAAAGAGCACAGACTGTCCAAAGTGACGCCTAAAATTTTAGGGTTATTTACTGTCGGAATTTTTGTGCCATCGACTGAAATGTTCAGGTCCAGTCTGTACTCCTTCGTCCAATTGGTGAAGATGGTCGCTGTGGATTTAGTGGGGGAGAGTGTTAAGTTCCTTGCAGAAAAGAAGCGAGAAAGATCGGAGAGGTAGCCGTTTACTTTTGAACACATGCCATCGATTCCATTGCCCGACGTCAATATCGTACAGTCATCTGCGTACGAGGTCATTGAAATTCCCGCTGGTGGCTGGGGGAGTTTCGAAATGTAGAAATTAAACAGTAGCGGGGAGAGGACACCGCCCTGCGGAACCCCCTGTTTAATTTTCCTGAGTTTGGAGTTTTGACCTCGAAATAGTACGGATGAGTGTCGACCGCTCAGGTAGTTCATGGTCCACCGCTTCAGCCCTGGAGGGAGCGTTGATTGTTCCAGGTCCTCAAGTAGCGTTGCGTGATTGACT